TCCAAAGAGGACATACATATGACCAATAGACATATGAAAAAGTGCTCAACATCATTAATCATCAGAGAGATGCAAATTAAAATGACAATGAGGTGTCAGCTCATACCTGCCAGATTAGCTACCATCAATAAAGCAATAAACAAGTGCTGGCGAGGGTGTGGAGAAAAGGAGTCATAGTACACTGCTGGTGGGGATGCAGACTGGTGCAGCCACTGTGGAAAACAGTATGGAGTTTCCTCAAAAACTAAAAATAGAACTGCCCTCTATTTTGCACTTTTTTTAAGTACTTTGGATCATGAATGAGAAGAAACACAGTGTCCAGTCAGGATGAAGCGTCACCCATTCAAACACAAATTGTTTCAAGGGTCAACGTTGTATGGATTATGACATTTACTTAACTCTTCCTCCCCTTACCCCAAAGAGAAAAGAACTGAGTTGAACATTTTTTTCTCTTATAACCGTTAACAATTAATTGTCTTACTCTGTCTTAAATCCAAAATTAATCTTTTACCGACACATATATTCAAGTCAAAGTCTTTATTAAGCTACTTAAAAGCTATTTATTAGACAATAGTTTTTCAAAATATAGAGTAAAAAGCTCATGTACACATATTCATTTAGGCAAGACCTAAAATGAGCTGACCCAAAGTTCATTTAAAGTGGCCACATAGCCTGGCCGGTATGGCTCAGTGGCTTGAGCCCTGGCCCATGGACTGAGAGGTCCCAGTTCGATTCCTGGTAAAGACACATGCCCGGGCTCAATCCCCAGTGAGGGGCGTGCAGGAGGCAGCCTATCAATGTTCCTCTGTCACATCGATGTTTCTATCTCTCTCTCCCGTCCTCTCTCTCTAAAAAAATCAGTGAAAACATATTTTAAAGATAATAAAATGGCCACATAGTTGTCCAAGGCATCTTTAAGACACTGACCTAGAATAAATAAGAATCAAATATCTTATTCAGTTGTTCATTATAGAAGAACATGACAATTAGCCAAAGAGATGAACAATTGCTTCAATGTGTCAGCCTACTGTGTTTGAACAAATTGTCCCCTAGCAAAATTTAGAGAGCTCTTTAAGAGGAACAGTTATTCTTAATACACTAACCTCTTAATATATGTCATGGGAGAAAAAAAAAGGACCTTACATGCTTGCAAAGAAAATATAAAATGTACTCAGAAATACCTACCAGATTCGTATAATTTAGCAAATATCAACCGATTTATGTTTCCTTAACATTATCATTTGGTTTAGCAGCTATTTGCCTTTAAACTTGGAGATGATAACCAGAGGGATTAGGCCTCTTTTTAAAATGTCTGGTTTAGCAACATTAAATTAAGTCTCTTTCAAAAGAGTCCTAAACCTTTTTTAATTTGCTAGCAGGTTAAAGTTTAAATTGCAAAAAGACTGACTGGCAGTTTTCTACTCTCAGACAAAAAAAGTGCAGGACTCTTGATAATTGCATTTAATGTTTAAAGATAACAATACAACAGCAAATCAACTAATGAAAAACTGCTCTTTGCAAACCCCTCATTCTGCAAGAGCACAGCTGGTGACTTAGATAGTAGCATTGCTACGACTCCCACTCACCCACTTAATATGGACCACGTGATAGGTCTTAATTCCTTGATCAGAGGCTTTACAAATTATCACAAAGTGCACATGTAAATGTCTAAATTTTATCTTGTTTTAACTGGACAGACAAAATTACACACACATTGCACAACACAATGTGAACTGATACTTGGTTACAGTTTGCAACCAAAAAAAGTGTCATAATCCCACCCTAAATGTATCAATTCTGTGCACTTACTAAAACATAAGAAGGTAGATTTCAATGCATGTATGGTTTTATAAAGTAATCTTTGTCTGAGGTAAGAAGATTTATGGTCCCAGTTTTGGTTAACATGGACCTTGGTGGATAGGTGTGCCTGGAAATATTGTAGGAAATATTAGGTCTAAAAAAGATCAAATTATAATTTTTGAGGTATTGAAATATTTCCAAAATTAACAGATGATATGATAGTTCAAAACACAATTCAATTGACTTGGTAGTGTCCTACAGTCTGGGAACTGAATTTGCTTTGCTAGAGCACAGGAACGTGTCTCCACAGAGGGAAAACAGCTGGCTGCATCACACAGATACAGGAGTGAGCAGAAGTGGGTTTACAGTTGCAATGCAAATAAATAATACAATAATCAACACATAATAATACAAGAATAAACTCTGCGTTTTGCACACTCACACCTGTAAACTTACTTTTGCCCAGCCCATCAGTGACCCCAAGAAAGATGCACCTGCTCTTAGGGAACATTCTCTCTAAAGGGAGGAGTCAGACGATGAACAAGGGATGTAGGAAACAAGTAAATTAGATTGTATCTTGGAAAATGATAAAAGATGCAACAAGAAGAAAGTACAGCAAGGCCAGGAAGATTGGACATGTGTAGGGAGGAAGTGGCTGATTACATTTCAAAGAGTGTTCAGAATACACCTCATTAAAAGGTGATACTGACTAAGGCCTTGAAGAGGTAAAGGAATTAGCTGTGAAGATTTTGCGAGAAAAGGATTTCATGCTAAGACCCTAAAACAGGAGTGTGCTCTAGGAAAAAAAACAAGGAAACTGGTGTGGTTGGAGCAGAGTGAGCAAGCAGAAGAATTAAGTTCAGAGAGGCAACAGAGCTCCAGATCAAGCAGAGTCATTTAAGCCTCCATAAAAATCTCAAAAGTACAGAATTCAGAGGGCTTCTAGGTTGGTGAATATATCCCTATCCACCAGGAAGGGGGCACACCCCAAACTCCACAGAAACAGAAGCTTCTGTGCCCCTCACCCCACCTTTCCAGATCTTGTCTTATGTATATGTTCACTTGGCTGTTCATACAGATGATATATAAGTAAGAGTTTCTGAGTTCTGTGAGCTATTCTAGCAAATAATTCCATTCAAGGAATGAAATAATGAGAACCTCCAATTTGTAGCCAAGTTAGTTGTGGGCAACCCAGGAACCTAATACTTGCAACTGATAACTAAAGTTGGGGTAGTCTTTGGAAATGGGCTCCTTAAGACCTGTGTGTGTGTCTTTGCTAACTCTGATTAGTGTCAGAATGAAACTGAATTGTAGGGTACCCAGCTGGTGTCACAGAGAATTGTTTGGTGTGGAGGGAAAAAACACACAAAAGAACCACCACCCATCTGGTGTTAGAAGTGCTATGAGTATGGTAGTACTATAAGAGTAGAGGAGAAACACACAGACTTCTTGTTGTTGTTGTTGTTGTTGTTGTTGTTGTGTCCGCCCCTACCCCAGACAAACACATAAAGAGGAATAAAGGGCAGAATGAAATTAGTCCTGATGAATTCAAAACAGAGAAGTGGACATGATGAGTCTGTGTTGGAGGGTAAAATGGGTGTGTGGGACTCCGTCTTGTCCCCTTAGATAGAAGAAAGGAGGTTGAGGAAGCAGGGTATCAGGACCTATGAACCCAGCTTACTCCCTTTCTCAGTGGGGGTAGAATGCTGAGAAGAAGTGTTTGCTCCAGTGCACCAATCTAGTTTGGCTTCCGTAGCAAGAGGGGAAAGCTTACTCCAAGAACCAGGCTAGGCCTTGCCTGTTGATGAAATTGAGATTTCTAGAAAAGCTAGATGTTATATTTGACTCCTGGATTCTATGTTTAGAAGATGAGAATAATAAAATGTATACCCTCAAAAATTAGCCCAGGGGATGGCGTATAGTGAGTGGATAGCCAAATCATCGTCAGTTGCACAATCTACCCTTTCTTTGCCTAGACATGCAATCTTTGTTTTCCTCTATCCCGAGACAGCTAGCTGTTTTGAAAGGTAGTTATTATACCCATAGACCATTTGGGAGCAAATTATTAACTAGATATAAAGACTTTAGTACAATGTTCCTCATAAAATAAAATCATATTCTCTGTAGACCAATGGGGCCAAGTTAATCACTTACGACTGCAAAACTTTCATCCCAGTAGGTTACCTTTCAAGTCATCTACCCATCCCGCATCCGTCTATCTATATATACATCCATTTTACTGAGCTCTGTGCTCTAGATACTATGCAAAGCATTGGTAAGGGAACAAGTTATGACCCTCATCCTTACAATGCTTACAGTTTAGTGAGGAGGAGAAACATTGATTAAACTATTGCATGTGTGATGAATACTATGAGGTCAGAATTTTCCAGAAGAATATAACAAGGGGACCTAATATTTAGTTATCCATTTGCCAAGGATTATCTGAAGCCAAATTTTCACATCACAAGGACTGCTATTCTGTATGCTTATTTCTAGAATGATTCCGTCAGGAGAACTATGATGGCCATAGCAGGAGAGCAAAGTAGCTTCAACTTGACACCCCGTAACTTCTTGAGCAAGGTTCTTGCCATTCACTGTTTTAGGGCACGGTGTCTTCTTACTCTCTCCCTGTACCCCAAACCTAGAATCTCAGTATCATTTAGTTGTTTTGAATTGCTGCAAAAGCTATGGGATCATATTTTATCTACCACTGAAGTCTTAGAAAGAACCACATATACATATATAGCTACTCTTCTGGAAGAAGAAGTATGCAAAACAGAGCATGCCCTTGCTCTCCCTACCTATAAGACAGGTTTCTGCACGTTCAAAGGGGCAACGATGAGGCTATGACCTCTGAGCTTGGCTCCAGTTGCGTGATGCTTTGCAGAGACATAGTTTCCTTCTACCTAGTGAGGTCAGTAGTCACCTCACTTTTCAGATAAATAAAATCCACTTTAGATACATGCAGTCAAAGAAAGTTTAACTTGCTCTTTGTTCACTTACTTTATCTTGTTAGCTACTCGATGGCTCATTCTAAACTTCATCTCATGATTCTTGATAGAATCCTCCTAAATCATCCATTGGCTATTCAACCATATGACTCCCCTTGTCATAACGTTACTTAATGTGTTATTCTATGCTGCTACTCCAAAGCCATATTATAATATGGTATGTTCACGTTATTCAAAACATCTACTCACTGCTACTCGGTGGCAAAAATAATCCATTGATATTTCGAGGTTTGCTGTGATAAAAGATACAACTGATCTTCACACAACCAAGAGGTTGAGTTTCCCAGAAGCATGAAATACTGCAGTTTTGCTAGACAAAAAAGGTAGGAGAAATGTGATGATCAGATGTCATAATAAATACCATGTGCTATAACACAACACAACATGACAAAAAAAAACCCCAAAACATCTCAAATATGGATTTAGGATCCTGTGTATGTTTCCTGGCTTTCAGTGTTTCTAAGCTCTGCTATTTAAAAGAGGCAATGGATATTCCTAAGACATACTCCTCCATTTTTCTAAGATTTTAAATTGAGCAAAGTGCAAAATGCCTACAATTAAGCAGTGGAAAAAATTGTTTTCTCTATTGTTTTATAAGAGTATAGTTCAATATTATTGAAGGGAGACTCTTTTAACAAACAATGATGCTGTAATTCTACCTGCATTTCCATGTGTCTAAATCTGCAAAGTGGATCTAAACATTTTCCCTCTCTCCATAATGAGCACACAGTGTCACTGCGAAGGGCCTTTTCACAGTGTCGGAATCGGCACTGGGAACCCTGAAAGAAAAAAGTAAACAGTGTAGAAAACTCAATATATTAACATTAGTGTTCAACAACAGTAGGTTGCTAATTAAAATATGAGATCCAATTAGAATTTTTAAAATACTACAAATATAAGGCCATAAATTTAAAAGTTAACAAATTGGTCTAATTTTATTGAGAGATTGACAATATAATCTAATTAAATAGTTCGACATGTCACAAGTCACTGATCAATTATTATTATTTTTTTATTATCATTTAATCCATATGGTTTACTCAGAATAAATATGAGACCAGTTATACTCTTGACCACGACTCATTGGTGGAACAACTTCTCTTTCTGAAGAAAGCCATATTTTTATTTTTTTTAAGAATCACCAGCCATATTCTACTTGTAGAGATGGTCTCTATTATTCAATCTTTTTATTAAATAATGTTTTCTTACTCAGTTTACAAAGATACTGTTCAGTGTGTTTATATAAGGAAAGTGAATGGAGTTTAAACTTTAAATTATTGCGGAATTTTAATTAATTATCACATTAGGGTACCTTATACAGTATATGCTTTATGCCTTTGGTCTACAAAGATAAAAAAATTGTGTCAATACATATACACACCAGTATCTTTATATACCAACAAATGCAGATGTGGATTATTTATGTATTCTTTGTCATTTACACATAGATCTACAGTGGAAAATCGGTAGGGTTTTTTTAGGCAGAAAAGGTAGGTAACATGCAATAGAAATATTCCATTAAGTTCTTCCTTCTTTTGACACACGTTCCTTTATGATTTTTAAAAACATGTTTTTATTGATTTCTTTTTTTTTTTTAGAGAGAGAGGAAAGGAGAAAGAGATAGAAGCATTGATGTGAGAGAGAAACACTGATCGGCTGCCTCTTGCACACCCCCTAATGGGGATCCAGCCCGCAAGCTGGGCATGTGCCCTGACCAGGAATCTAACTGGGACCTCTCAGTCCACAGGACGATGCTCAATCCACTGAGCCACAACAGCCGGGCTTCCCTACCCCTTTTAAAAGTGGATCTGTGGATCTCGTAGTACAAGGCCATGTGAAGAGCCTAGATAAGCCAGTATGTGAACTCCTGGCTCCATTGCTGTGTCCATAGTCACAGTCAATACATTACTCACCTTTGTGCGTCAGTTTCCTCACATGGAAAAGGGGAAGAATGTAACCGCCTCACAGACTGTTGTAAAAGTTATGTGAGATATAGTATTGTGATTGCTGTTATTATTTCATTTATTTACTTATCGAGAACTTACTACCCTATCAATTACTGCGCTAAGAACTTGGAGATATAGCTGTGAAACAGACAAAACTCTCTGCCCACATAGAACATACATTCTATTATTATTTTTACTCATAAGAAAACGGGCAACAGAAATGAATTTAATTCTAACAGTCAAAGAGGTCAATTCTATCCAGATTTCCCAGCAGAGATGAAACAAACACCTTAAACTAGACGGCACATCATGTGTTGCACTGGGTTCCTGTTGGCATGAATATGAAGCTCCACACATTGAATTTCTACATTTACTTGGTTTCATTGTGATTCATTAATCCTCATGTTTCAAATGTGTTTCCCATTTAATTTTATGAACCTAATTCATATCTGGCTAATTTATTTATATTACTTCTTTTCCTTCTTCCATGATATTAAATGTATGTTGTTACTTAGACTTTTGACATAGGAAAATTCATTACCTGGGTTAATAAATTTCAAATAAGGAATCAATGTGATTCATTAAACTAAATTTGATAATGACCTGTATTTATTTCAATTTATATCACTGAAATCACATTAACCAAAACAATATGATGTATTATATTATGTTTCAATAGGAATTTGATATCTCAAAGAGCCATAAATTAGGTAAAAGTGTATATGAAAAAATTCATGGGCGTGTAATTGGCATATATAAGGGAAGTTTCAAATAAATATTTTAAATTATCATGGGTTTCCTCAGAGAAATTCAATATATCAATAATACATGATAAGCTTTTACTTCAGATTTTAAATACATAAAATATTTTATGTAAAAATAGTAAATTTTGATTCAGCAATACAATTTATTGCCATCTCTTCCTTCATTCTAGAAAACTTTAACATGTGAAGTACTATAAATTGTATAATATTTACCTTTATGCATGTGGAATTAAAAAAGAAATAGCAGTCATTCCCAACTTCTGCCATTTTCAACTCTCGTGCTGCTAATCCAATGTTTTTTAGTATAAAAATCGCAAAAATACAAATATAAGAACTATCAGTGTGTAAGGGGAAAAATAATTTATTTTCCACAGTCTTTCAGGCTATCAGTAGTATTCCTTTAAAACTGACCTCCTGTTGACAGTATATTACACAATAGATAATTCTTAAAGAAATTTAAATTAGAAGATACCTTCTCTAGCTTTGCAGAAATGTTGAAAGTGGTTGCTAGTAAGCACACAAACTCAGACTTCCAGAATTTTCCTCATTGTTACCAAATCCATTGTTTGCTCATCATAAATGACCTCACATGTAACTGTAGGTCATTTTACATTAGTGAATACTGTGCAGTATTTTTCTTACTGAATTCTAGTATATTAACCAGAAACAGCTTATAAAAATAAAACAGTATATATTCTTTCAATGTTCTGAATGAATATGAACATAAGCTAGTTCATAATTTTATAACTCAAAAGTATTAACTATTTCACAAGTAAATGGCTATTTTCTAAACCTCATTTCTACATATGGTTTGAAAACAAAACTAAACTTTTAAATAGGTAAATATATTATCTATACTTCAATAAATTATTAAAATATACACTCATTGCTAGCCACTGATTTGGAATACAAATCATTCAGATTGCAATATTTTAATAGGTACCTGAAAATAAACTGCAGTACTTATTCATCTTGTAGCTATATTCTATTCATTATTCATCCATCATAAAAGGACAAAGAGCTTCTTCCTAAAGCAGAAAGGTTCCAGAGTGCTTGCAAATTTTGAGAATTTGTTGAAAGCAAAGTGATGTACTCTGATTCCCGGACTGAGACATTTCAATCAGCAGTTGAGGTCTTTCTTCATCTTCATATCTTTATTAAAAGTACTAGAACCTAGCAGAAATGAACAAAAAATATTCATTGTAGGTGATTTAGAAGATGTCATAGAAATGACAGATTATGCTAGATCAAAATGTACTTTTAAATTGAAATGTACTCCAGTGGAAACTAAAAGATCAAGACATATGGATTCCCATTTTTGTCGAAGTAAAACAGACTAACTCGGTATATGAACTTGTTGGATACAAAGCTTTGGGGTAAAAATCTAGGAACTAAAACAAGAAATTAATATTTAGAAAAGAGTGATTTACTTATACCTATAAAGAAGAGAATATAATAAAAAGAATTGGGCTGTATTAAAGTAAATGAAGAAGTAGAGAATAAATATTTGGCTGAATAAATATGTATAAATCTTTGAATATATTAGCATATATTGCCTTTTATTTTGCCCTACTAACTCTACAACAAAGCATTCATTAGACACATAAAGTTACTGGGAAAAACACCCCTAAGAAATATATTTAAGTGGTTGACCAGGCCAGTGTGGTTCAGTGGTTAGAGTGTTGGCCTGCACACCTAGGGGTCACAAGTGAGACAACCTATCGATGTGTCTCTCTCACATCAATGTTTCTTTCTCTCTCTCCCCCTCCCTTCTTCCCTCCTTCCTACTCTCTAAAAATCAATGGAAAAAGTATCCTCAGGTGAAGAGTAACCAAAACAAAAAAGTGGTCTTTACCTCCAGATAAACTCTCTCTCCACCTATCAAGTTTTAGCTGCACTGCACCTCCCAATACTGTTACCAAACACCAGTATTGCATGTAATACCCTGATTAAAGCCTTTGTGAAAAATCTATGCTTTACAGTTGGGTAAGGCTGAAATAATGTTTGTTTTTTTTAATCTCTGGAAGTTTATTATTAACAACTATATTCCATTAAACATAGCAAAATCCAAAATGTGAATTTTTGTTGTTGTTGTTGTCATTGCAAAGAACAGTAAATAGATCTGTACATTTTGGTAGTCTTTGAAATGCCTGGAGCCCTAATCTATCTCTCTCTCTCTCTCTCTCTCTCTCTCTCTCTCTCTCCTTTAACTCTATTTTTCTCTCTCTTTCTTTTTTCCTTTTCCTTGTTCACTTCTTTCCTTTTGTAAAATTCATTCTTGTCTTCCAAGGAAAGCTATCACATTATCATGACTTTACTCCTAGTAATGAATAGGAAATTTGCTTCTGTAGGTGAGGGTAGGCCCCCAAATTCTATATATGTTTTGTGTTGGTCAAGGTAGACTCGCATTGTGTCTCTCATCTTAGATGCATGCTAGAATATCAACACATAAATCAGAGAAGTCTTTCTTCCAGTTTGTAATCCAGTAATACCAATCAATTTAAGCGTGGGGCTGGAAGTAACTCCCTGATGGCTCTTCAGGCTTATGAGAACAGGCAAAGGTCCTGGCTACTACCCATCAGAGTAGGAGTCCAGTTTATAACCCTGGGTTGGTCTCCTGACTTGGACTCCCATTTCTGCTACAGGCTTTGTTCCAGGCACCGAAGAACCGAAGCACTGTAAATAAAGAGTGCTTTCTTGATGAATGCTTAGCTTTACTGATACTATTCAAAAAGCAAGTGGAATGTTTCTTGAAAATAATCCTTTCTCAGATTGATAGAATGCTGGACCTAGAAGATTCTGTGGCAGTTTGGGAAATGACAGTTGATAGTTGTGAAGGTTATATAATTGTTGTCCCCTTGAGACTCATGAAATAAGCAGCTTTCTAGGATCCGTGAACAAAAAAGTCACTAGTTCTTGACTATATAATGCTAAGAAGGTTCTGGTCAAGTTCTTGTAGCCAGCATCAGATGAAGGCCCCACCCTCACCCGCCTTACAAATTTTTTTGACCATTTTGTGTTTTCCTATGAGAAAATCAGATAGCAGAAGAGAAAGTAAATTCTTTGAAATGGCAAATCGCTTCTTTCCTCCCTCCCCTCTGAATCCAGCTATCAAAAAACTAGTTGCTTGTAGGAACATTTTATTATTTGAAAGCGCCCTTATCTATAGATACTCCAAGTGAGACATAGTTGTTTAATTTCCCAATAGCTAAGTCAGGAAAATGCTGAATAGTATGATAATTGCAGAGAAGACAATTATAAAAATGAGACATGGGTCTTGTCAAAGCATCTAAAAAATTGGCCTTAGCAAAAACTTTCTTATTGAGGAATTACTCGCTTTGATGACATAGAAAGGCTACTATTACTAAATATTTAAAATTTAATTTATTCAGTCATTGACTGTCTTACTGTGACAGGCATCTCTCAGACACCAGAGAGGCGTTATTGGACAGCCCCCTGAATCAGAGGGAGCGGGCTGTCCCCAACCTCTATCCTTGTCTTCTCATATAAATGACTTTATAGGAGAAACCTTGATTGCATTTTGTAATGTATGTATTAAAACATTAATGCAAGTTCATTTAGTAAAACATTAAAGCATGCACATTTATTAATGAAGCAAAGCGAGCAAATTTATACATCTGGTTTATGAAGCACAGACAGGTTCTCAGCTAATCTGAAGAGCCCATGGGATGGGCGATTTCTGCCTTATATACCCTTCTGCCTGTAAATTAAAAAAAAAAAAAATTCCTCTGCTAGATAGCCTGGTCCCTTTTCTTTACTATTGACGTCTCACAATTTATGGGAAGCGCCTGGCTTTTTGTTTATACTCCTCTTTTCTCCTCCTTCCTGATGTTGTAGCAATTTTAGGATAATTTGCACTAAGTGTTTTTTTTTATTCCTCCTCCTCTCCTTTCCTTTCACCTCCTCTCCTGCATTCTTCTGTGCGGAGAGGTTTTAACCTTGTTCTGCTACAAGCGGTCTGCAAAGCGTTTTGGCTTTACCTTTCCTGCCTTCGTTTCCCTATTCCTCCTGCCCTGAAATCTTTCTCTTAACCTTACCACCCTCCATTACGCTGAGAATTAGTCAAAGCTGTTTTTAGTTCTGCAGTTGACTGACTACAACTACTCAAACATTTGAATTCTGTTGGAGCTCATATTTAAGACCAATGAGATTCCTATGAAAAAAATTGATATTGAAAACTGGTTGTAGGTATTCGTGTGGTTTTGGTTTAAGGCTAAACTGTGCACTCTGTAAAGAACATCAGAACCAATTTCTGACCATATTACAGTTCACAAAGAGGGCTAATCCAAATGGTAATTAGTTCTTTAGTCCCAGGTATTTTAATTATAGCATCTTCTAACGTTCTTACTGGACATCAGTTTTCATTGGCCTTGGGACGTCTCTGGATATTAGTCAACTTCTACAGTGCTTCCCCTAGGAACTTATCAAGAGAGACCAGGCGAGCAGGTTTCGACAGAATAGTGTTAACTCGCCACTGAATTGCCTCGTTACTTATAACTTGATATTATTTAATTATCGTAAGGATCGCGGCTGCTGAGTGTAGTTAAGTACACACACCCCAGAAACGGATCTTTGTTTCTTTCCAAGAACCTGCAGAGACCCTCGCGGGAGCGCACGTGGCGGTGCCTCGGCGCCAGCACTACAACTCCCAGCAGGCACCGCGGCCAGGCACGCTTCCGGGCGTACGTCCCGCCCCACGCTCGGTGCTGCGGGGACGTGGGCGCGGCCGTGCCTGGCGTGAAGTGTGCGTGCCTTGGTCGCGACTGCGGAGCGCCTTCGCCGCCGGGACTCGCCGCTGTTCGGAGGCGCGCTTTGCACTCGCACTGCCCGTGGGGGTCACCATGAGGCGCCTGGGCTCGGTGCAGCGGAAGATGCCGTGTGTGTTTGTGACGGAGGTGAAAGAGGAGCCCTCCGCCAAGAGGGAGCATCAGGTAGCAGGGCGGCCGCGCGTGAGCGTGTCCCCGCGGCGCTGGCTGCGCTTCCACCCGGCGAGGGCGCCCGCGCGCGCTCGGGGCCCCCGGGGGCCGCCCTGTAGGCCCGGGTCGGTTTGCAGGTTTCGCTGGGGAGGTGGAGGGTGGGGCTGGTGCGACCTCAGCTCCAGGTCCTTGTACCGTCTCAGGTGCAAGGGAGGAAACGGACAGGAGAATTTTTCTGGACGGGCGATCCAGACTTGCCCTCGCGTGGAAATGGAAAATCCACATCTTAAATAACACTCCTTTCTTCGCAGGTTACTGCTTTAGGGGAAAACTCCTTAAGTATTTACATAGTCACCGCAGTCCAAGCCTTACTTTTTTCAAGAGGATGGTGACAAAGTGGAGTGTTTAGAAGACTTGCTTTACCTGTTCTAAGCAGCCTCCTTTGGTCACTAAAGAGCAGACCTCTCATACCAGTAATTACCTTTAATTCTAATTTTGGTGTTCCCTCCTCAAGATGTCCGGTTCCCTCTGCACTGAGTTTTACACCTAGAGGGTCCTTAGTAAATACTGGTGATTAAAGTTAGTAACCTTATCAGGATAATTTCTTAATATATATCAAAGCCCTTGAGAGCAGAATCCCCAGTTATCCTTTGGGTGCTTCCAGCTCATCATACAAAACCATCATGTATGTTTGACATGATTCGCATTGGCCTTTTGCTTATCTTCCAGACTAAAAGTTTCTGGGATCTGACACATGGTGGGCAGTGATGAATACTTTTGAATTAAAGAAGGAACCCTGGAGTCAGGTCATGCCAGTTTTGCATTCACCTTGATGCTTGTATCGCTTTCTATTCTCCTTTCTATTGTCATCACTGTTGTAGTTCTTAATATCTTACACCCTGCTTATTGAACTACCTAATCCTCCTATCTTGTCACCAGAATGATCATCATTATGCTTTTCCCCAGTTAAAACCCCACAGTTACTACTGAATCTCTGTAGCAGTTGTCAAGCTTTTATTTTTTAAGTTCTAACTAACCTAATCTATATGAAACATTGTCATCCTGAATGGTGGGTGGTGGTTCAGTCTAGCTGTGATTCTCAGCTTTTCATATTGGGTGGGAAGTATAGTTTGTACAGGTTCCCTCCACAAGGAAAAAGAAGCCCTTTGTCTTGCCCCTCTGCTGTTAAAAGTAGCTTATAGTATTGCTTATAGCATAGCATACACATCCTTAATTATAATTCAAGACTTCCTGTTCATCAGGTCCTATGTACATACTGTCTAACCTCACTTAAGGTGAAGTCTTTGTTTTAGCAAAGTCTATTTTAAATCGTGAGCATACCAGGCACAATCCTGTCTCTATTTTTGCTATGTACTTTACCTAGATCACCTCCAAAATTTTTTATTTTTTGAATCAGACCGTCTCTATGAAATCTTAGTTATCCCAGTGACTGTCCCTACCCAAGAATCGTAGAGAATCACTCTACTTAACTGTCTTACTAGTTCTTACACACACATGCCTTGTTTTTCTAGATATATTTTAGCCTTTAATGGCAGTAGAGAAGAACTTGTCACCCCTTTGTATCTTATGTTGTCTTTTGGAGATGGCCATAGTGGTAGGTAATTTAACATGGAAGAGGTATTTGTACTCACAAGAGCACCACGAGCAGAGTGATCTCCTCTCTAGGATCTTTGATAAATTTAAACATACACACACACACACACACTATTAGGCCAGACCTTTGTTCTCTCACCACAGGCTAAATTGATATCCTCTGATACTGATGTCATAAATTAGTAATAAATCCCCCCATTTAGTTTTATCTTAGAAACACCGAATCAGGCCCTGTCCAGGTAGCTCAGTTGGTTAGAGTGTCTTACACCAAGGTAGTGGGTTCAGTCCCCAGTCAGGGCACAGACAAGAATCAACCAATGAATGCTTAGATGGGTGGAACAACAAATTGACCTCTTTCTCTCTCTTTCTCCCCGCCCCACAGCCAAAATCAGTAAGTAAAAAAAACAACAACAGTTTTTAAAGTACTGAATAAGTACCAGAATGAGGTTACTTTCCTAAGTTTACTCGACTCTGAAACGGTATTGCCACTTATTAGTCTTAATCCTGTACATATGAGTGTAATACTTGTACTGTGCAGTGTTTTTTCCCATTATGTAAGGTGAATGTTACATTAAATAATTTAGACTATGAAGCAGTGGCATAAGCATTTCTCAGAAATGAAATATTATACATGAAGAGTTTGGTAGGAACCCTAGAAATGGTCCTTTTCTCCTGTCTGGATGCTCTTTTGGCCTGTCTTCCTGACAATAGAAAAATCATAAATATGCAGTTTGTTCCTAATAAAGCTGAAAGGGCCCCTCCTTGTTTTTCTTCTTAGACCTTACCAGACCTAACCTTGTATTCTGCATTTTGTTACTGTTGTCTTCCTTGTTAAAATGAAAGTTGCACCCAAGACAGGTACTTTTTTGTTCACCTCTGTATTTTTTCAGGGCCAAGAACAATGCTTAACCCTCAGGAGGCATTTAGCAAATTAATAAGTGAATGTACTGAACACCTGTGCTAGGGATGCAGCACTGCATAGGACATGGTTCCTGGCGTCAGGCTCATTATGGTGGCTAAAGAAACGTGAACATTTTGTGTGGAAAAAAGGTACTGCTGTGATAGCGTAGAAAGGAGGAGATGACTCCTGAGAATTTTATGGACAAAATCTTTTTAAATTGTCTTAAGGATAAACAGAAAATTGCCCCTTAGAACTAGTGAAATTAAGACTATTCCAGGTGAGCCCTGGTCTGTGTTGCTCAGTGGTTAGAGCATTGGTCTGTGGACCAGAGAGGCCCGCGTTCGGTTCCTGCTGAGGGCACGTACCTTGGTTGTAGTTTGTCCCCGGCCCCGGTTGGGGTCGTGTGGGTTGCAGCAACTTGATGTGTCTCTCTGACATCAATATTTCTCTCTCTCTCCCTCCCTCTCTTCCTCCTGCTGTGTCTGAAGGTAAATGCAAAAATGTGCTCCGCTGAGGATAAAAAAAAAGAATATTCCAGGTGAGAGTGTGTGCAAGGGCATAGATGCTGTCTGTGTGAAACCCATTTTTTTTTTTCTTCTCTTTTTTAAGACATTTAAAGTTTTGGCAACTGAAACTATAAGTCACAAGGCAATAGATGCAGATATATACAGTGCAACTCCAACAGAAAAAGTGGATGGAACATGTTGTTACGTTACTACCTACAAAGGTAAAATAAAACTACAAATATTATTTATTACTTAATACCCATTAAGGGCCATGCAGTATGATAATTGCTTTGTACAGGTTATCTCTAATTTGTACCATAAGCTCTCCAAGAACTTAAATAATTTGTCCAAGACCATATAATTAATGAAGGACTGAACTGGTAACAGAGCCTACGTTTGACCCTACAGCTGATCCCAGTTCTGGTTCATTGTTTTCATTATTATTGACAATATATCCGATTTATTTTATTTTAATGTACTTGAGAAAAAGTAGAAACTCAAATAGAAATTGTTCACTATATTTTTTTTTTTTTTTTATCCTCACCCGAGGATATTTTTCCATTTTTTGTACAGATAGAGTGGGAGGGAGAGAGAGAGAGAAACATCGACGTGAAGGGACACATCGAGTGGCTGCCACCCGCACGACCAACCAGGGCCGGGGACAAACTGCAACCGAAGTACGCGCCCTTAGCGGGAACCAAACCCGGGTCTCTCCGGACCGCAGGCTGACGCTCTAACCGCTGAGCCAAACTGGCCAGGGCGAAATTGTTCACTATATGAAGGAAAAAAATACAATGAAAAGAGAAATAATCTTTTTAATTCTTTTGGATGGTGAAATTACCTCCCAGTTTACCACCTTGACCATTTTTAAGTGTACACTTCAGTGGTGTGTATAGTTCACCTTGTGCTTCTATTACCACCATCTATCACCAGAACTCTTTTCATCTTCCAAAACTGACACTCTGTACCCATTAAACATCTCACCATTTCCCCTCCCTCTAGCCTTTGGCAACTACCATTCTACTTTGTATGATTCTGACTACTCTAGGTACCTCCAGTACAAATACTGGAATCAGGCAGTATTTGTCTTTCTGTGACTGTCTTATTTCACTTAGAGTAATGTCCTTAAAGTCCGTCTATGATTTCTAGTGTATGTCAGAATTTCCTTCTTTTTAAAGACTAATATCCCATTGTATGTATAGACCACATTTTGTTTATCCGCTCTTCCATCGATGTACATGTGGTCAGCTCCCACCTTTTGGTTATTGTGAACAGTAGAGCTGTGAACATGGTGTAAAAACTCTCTTCCGTCCCTGCTTCTAGTTCTGGTGGGTATGTATCCAGAAGTGGAATTGTTGAATCATATGATAATTCTATTTTTCATTTTTGAGGAACTCCCATACTATTTTCCATAGAAGTTGCACCAATTACATTCCTACCAACAGTGCACAAGTTTCTGATTTCTCTCCATCCTCACCAATGCTTGTTATTTATTTATTTATTTATTTATTTTATAGTAACCATTGTAATGGATGTGAGTGAAATGAATTTTTTTGTTTAGTAAAAAGAACAAGGTCCATTAAACCAGAAATGACAATATAATTTTAATCAGGTTCCTCTGTATTTATATTAAATAAATTTCAATGTGTGATTGAATCACATCATGTGTGATTACGTATAATGGAGGCAGTTGAATAAGGTTGCATTGCTAAAGAAAACTTAGCAGTGACAATGCTTACAAATCCACAGTTTATTACAGGTGGAGGATAATGCAGTATAGCAAGGGTATTAAAAGTAAGGATGTGCAACACAGCGTCAAACTCTCACGGCAAAGGGTTAGGAGAGGCCAGGTGGAAGCTCCTAGCCCCCTCCGTCCCCCACTCCAGGCTCTAGCAGGACACGCCCTCTCAAACCAGGAACCCCGGATATGTGCAGGGAACACCTTTCAAACGGGGACTCCAAAGTAGAGTCTCAGCTGGGGATTTCTAGGTTTTGCTGGTCACAAAGGCACCTTCCTGCTAAGGAACCAGCCTCAACAGCAGAGCCCTCCAGGGATCTCACTGAGACCACGTGCATCCCACTGATCTCATTGTCATATTTCCATTTACTGTGGAGGTAGCTTCAGTTTCTCACAGATGCTAGTTATAATAACATTTGGCCTAACGAAAGGGTCACATGTTTTCCTTTTTCTCTCATCCCCATCATTCTTTAACCAAAACGAAGTCTTAATAGCAGGTACTGCTTGCTAGGTAGGATGTGTCTGTTAGACTGCTTATTCCAGTTTATCTGCTAGTGTTGCTTCTCTTAGAGAAGAAAAATTTTATTATGAAATGTCTTTTAAGGTAAGTTTTATTCATCACCTCTTAATATTTTTCTTTTTATTACTTATTTAGGTAAACCGTATCTGTGGGCTCGACTAGATAGAAAACCTAACAAACTAGCTGAGAAAAGATTTAAAAATTTTCTACATTCAAAACAAAACTCAAAAGGTTAGTAGGTCTTTTTGTCTTCAGCTTTCATGATTTAAATAGGTAAAATTTTGTGATTTATTTCTTGCTGTGGTGTTTCTATACATTATATCCTTTTGTACAATTTAAGCACTTTGGGAAAAGAAGAAAATTAGAATTGAATATCTTTATATGTAAAAGAATTTTCTTGAAAAATATTCTAAAATGTTTTCCTAACATTTCTGTGATTCTTCATTATAGTAAGTCAATTTTATTAAAACATACAAGTTACACACACATACACATATTATAATGAACAACACATTTTTATTTTGTCTGCCTAAGAGACAACCATGTAATTTTATTAAAAACATTATTTTCTTTATTGTTTTTAGAGAGAGGAAAGGAGGGGGAAGAAAGAAAGAAACATCAATGAGAGAGAACATCGATTGGCCACCTCCTGCACGCCCCCCACTGGGGATTGGGCCATCCTGCTGGGCATGTGCCCTGACCAGGAATCCAAGCAGTGACTTCTTGGTGCATGGATCGATGATGCTCATCCACGGAGCCACACTAGCTGGGCCAACCATATCATTTTATAAATCAGACACAAATCTCAAAGGATTATTAATATTTTTAATTATTAAATTAAAATGCTTCTAAATATTTTTAAAGTAGATATACACTCATCATTGCATATCTACTCATTCATATATATAATCTATAACCTATATATATATATTTGTATTCATACTGCATTAAAAATTTATCTTAAATCTACACATACTGGAACGTTGGCTACTTTAGACTGTTATCCTGTATTTGCAAATAGTGGTGTGTTCAAAATTGAAAAGTTAAAGTGTTAGTACCCTAACTCTGAGAAGTATAGTCATATTGTAGTGATAATGAATGGAGAATAATTATACGATACCTGATATTATGGGGTTTATTAGCTATATTCCCACTTTTAATTTGTTCAGTATTTTACATTTTTTAAAAATATTGCCACATGTAAGATTATCTAACTCTTTTAGAATTTTTTTGGAATGTTGAGGAGGACTTCAAACCTGTTCCAGAGTGCTGGATACCAGCGAAGGAAATTGAACAGTTAAATGGAAATCCCATGCCTGATGAAAATGGACACATTCCCGGTATCATGGAATCTCTTCTAAAATACAGTTTTGTGTTTACTAGTATAAAGAACAAAAGATCCATTTCATCAGAGATTACAGAATTTAATTTTAATCAGGTTTTTCATAGTATTTATTTGTGTAGCATAAAATTTCTGAGTCTAATTTATGTTATGTAACAGTTTATACAAAGATGTTTCACATCTAGAATGTCCTCTCAGGTTTAGAATCACTTCTAAGATAGACAGTTCACTACCTATAGTCTGTGAAAATAAAGTGTTGAGTGTAAATAACCTTGAAGTTGTCACAATAGACAATATAATTGATCTTTTCTGAAATGAGATATTAAGAAGCCTTTACTTTTTGGATTGCAGATAACAGTATGTATAATTTTTGCAAAGATCCTAGAAGACTATTTCAGTGAAGAGAGGTGAAAATAAGTTTCTCACAAGTAGTTTTACTGGGGAAGGGAAAATATTTGCAAAAGTGTGCCAAGTAAAAAGATAGCCCAGATTAAAGTTCAGGTTAATAGGCATATCTTGAGTATTTATAGTGTGCAAAGTACTGTTAGGTTCTACAAAATGAAGATCAGAACCCTGATCCTCAAAGATCTCTAGACATGGGGGAAACCCATCAGTAATAGTATGATTTACGAATGAAAGGGGAAGAGTACACAGGTTACAGTTAGAGAAGAGGAAGAATCCAGAGTTCCACGTGTGGTGATCAGGGGAGGCTTCTAAGGGAAAAGACATCTGTCCTGAACCAGGAGTTAGCTGAGAGGAAGTCAGCTTAGGCAAATTCCCATGAAGAGATCATGGAGTCTTTTGGAAATTTTACGTAATACCTTATTCTGGCTAGAATGTTTGGGTGTATGACATTTGAGGAGGGTATAAAAATTGAGGCTGGAGATGTGGAATGGGCTCAGATCTTAAAAGGGTTTGTATCCCAACTAAAGGAATTTGAAGTTTATCCTGAAGATTATTAAGCAGGACACAGCAGAACTAAATTAAAATTTTTTAAATGGGTCTATGATAAAAATGGATGGGGGTGGGTTTCACTGGAGACTAGTATACCAACAGAGACGTTATTACAGTAATCTGGGTAATGAAGGCCAAAGATTATGATGGTCACAATGGTGTATATGTCACAGCACAGTGAGGAAGTCTGTTCTAGCATCTGAAGTTGGATGGGAATAGAAGTAACACTCAAATGTGGAATCAATACATTTTTCAGTAAATATGGGAACAGTACAATAAATTGTGGAATAGTTACTGCATGTGTCTGTTGTCTCCGAAACTGGAGAGAAGGTAGAGAACGTAATTTTAAAAAGTACTTTAATTCTATATCTTAGAATGTTGAATTCTTACTGAAAAGGTGAATTTTCTAGTAAAAATGCTGGGTGCTCTGTAGTGCTAAATCAAGTTAATTTGTCAAGAGAATAAAAAACCTTATAGTTTAAAAATTGATTATGATTTAAAGTTATTTCTGCTGATTTTAAAAGTGATATCTGTGTGTGATAGAATATCCAGAAAATATGGAAAATTTACTAAAAATTACCTTGTCTCAATGTAGAGAAAAACAGTGCCAAAAACCCCACTTTTTTCTTTAAATGATAGGTTGGGTACCAGTGGAGAAAAACAACAAACAGTATTGCTGGCATTCCTCGGTAGTTCATTATGAATTTGAAATCGCCCTGGTACTGAAGCATCATCCTGATGATCCCAATCTTTTGGAAATTAGTGCAGTGCCACTGTCAGATCTCTTAGAACAGACGCTGGAGCTTATAGGAACAAATATTAATGGAAACCCATATGGTAAGTAAAGCCTTTTTTCCGTTCAGTAATTCATTTATAAAGACAACCTAAGTTCAGCTTACACACACACATACAGAAATGACTAATACATTTGAATTAAGAAGCCTAGGATTATAGTCATTTCTCCTAATTCCATGGAGAAATTTACCTAATCATTTTATTAGTCCAAAATGTTGATTTTTAGCCTCTTGTTCTTTCCTGTGATAACAAAACTAGGTATGAATAGTTCTTACTTAACTTTTCATGGCTTTTTAAAATTTGGTGAACTGAACTGAATGAAAATCATGATGTGCTTACCATATCTAGGTAATTAGTGTAAGCATTAATTAATAGCTGCGTGTAAAGTGAATAAAGAATTGGCAATGGATAGGATATCAAGCTATGATGAATTGAGTACAAGTCCCAAGGGTCCTATGGAGTACATTGACAGGGATGGATGAAGACAGACCCAAGAACATTACAGCTTGAATGGCAAACCCTGTCTATATAAAGACCAGAAGCAGACTGACTGGCAGGTGGAAAGAAGCTAAGATAGTAACTCTACAAGTTATCAGAAATATGGCATGGCTATTTGGCAAATACTGAATAACAGTTGAATGTAGCTAATGGATGTAGAGCAGGGGTTGTTGGACTGTTTTTTGTAAAAGGCCAGATAGGAAATATTTAGGTTTTGTGGGCCATACCTCTTAAGCCATAAATAGTACTTAAATGAGTAGATGTGGCTGTGTTCCATTGAAACTATTTATAAAAAGTCATCTGGCTGGATTTTGCCCACAGGTCATAGTGTGTGGACCCCAGGTATAGAGTAGACAAAGGTAGAATTTAGATTTAATAGGTTAGTGCCACTTTTGAGTGAGAATGCTTCTGCAAAGAAACCAACTAAACTTTTTGGTAAACTAATTCTTAAATATTTTAAAAGCCTTTTTTTTTTTTTTTTTTAAATCTGGAGAGGTGAATTTTCCATTTATGAAAACTTTGTATGGCTAATGGCAAGATTTTACCATTTAGGTCTAGGAAGCAAGAAGCATCCATTACATCTTCTTATACCACATGGAGCATTTCAAATAAGAAATCTACCGACCTTGAAACACAGTGATCTGTTGTCCTGGTTTGAAGGCTGCAGAGAGGGTAAAATTGAAGGAATAGTATGGCATTGCAGTGATGGCTGTTTAATCAAGGTAATGGCAGAAAATAACTTGTGGGATGATGTCCCCTATGTTCCCAAAAAGTAGAAGTGGCACTGAAATACTCTACAAATTGCAGTAATTCTGATGATGCACTCAAGAAACTTAATTTGTTCTCACATGCCACCATTTGTATCATAAAGTTGGTTTCCTGGTGCATTTATTCTGTGGGCATCGGTTCTTCTAGATGTGCTTCAGAATTAAAGTGATGAAGTGTCTGGAAAACCCTGCAAATTACATATTCCTTTCTTGGAAATTCATATTGCATATTACTACTCTCTGAAACATTCTGTGACGACAGCATTTAATCCTGTTTAATTCAGCATTTACATTGTGTTTAACTTAGCATTTCCCAAACTTACTTGGTTATAGAGTTTCTTGCGTTAAAAGAGTGGCAAGGGTCAGTTAATTTATACAGAATGAATTATTTTATTTTTTGTGCGCTGTCTGTCTCTTGGGCTTGTCTATTTGATTTCTCATAGGTTCTTGAAATTCATCATGCTCAAACCTAAACCAATCCCCAGACTCCAACAATTCACTGAAACCAAAAACTTAGATATCATTTTTAAACCTGCTCTCCATTACTTCATACATCCAATTATGAATTCCTACAGATTCTGATCTATTAAATCTGTATCTTTCTCTCCAACCAATTAATTTTTTTTTCTTTATTAATTTCAGAGGGAGAGGAAGGGAGAGGGAGAGGGAGACAGAGACAGAAACATTGATGAGAACATTGATTGGCCGCCTTCTGTATGCCTCCCACTGGGGATTTGGTCCACAACCTGGGCATGTGCTCTGACCAGGAATCAAACCGGCAATCTTTTGGTGCGTGGGTCGATGCTCAGCCACTGAGCCACACTGGCCAGGCAATTAGTTGTTAATTTTAATTTAAGCTAAGATTCCTACTTGAGTTACTATATTATCCTCTTAACTGTTAACTTTCAGTATTTACTGAGACTGTAATGAGAATAAATGAATGAGAATGTTACTTCCCTGCATAAAACTGTTTAATAACATTAAGATTTTTTATGATCTGGGCCCTACTAAACTTTCTGGAATTGCCTCTACCCTCATCTCCATACACACACACGGTATATGTTCTAACTATACTCAAATAATTACAGAGAAGAAAATGCCAGTCTGTCACATGATACTCCCTTTGATTAGACTCTCTCTCTACCCACAGTTGGCTAGCTTCTGTACTCATCAACAGACTGTATTACTGAAATTTTTGCCTGACGGTGTTCCTGGCATGTTTCCAGGTGTTAGAAATACATGGTCTAGTTGCCTTCATGAAGGTCACGTTTTAATGGGAAAGATAGGCAATAAACAAATAAATAGTAATATGTCAGGAGGAGAAGCACCTGTGAAATGATAAAGTGGAGCCTTAAATAGTGCCTGGCAGATAGTGAATGAAGATAATACAGGTTAAAACTAATACCCTTTTTTTCTCTTTCCAGGTCCATCGCCATCATCTTGGTTTATGCTGGCCAATTGCAGATACTTACCTGAATTCAAAACCAGTTGTTATTAACATGAACCTGAACAAATATTCTTTTGATACTAAATGTTTATTTAATCATTTTTCAAAAATAGATCATCAGAAATTTAGTAGGCTGAAAGATATAACACTGGATGTGTAACCTAGAAATGTAATTAAAAACCAGCTCTGTTGTTATATTTGAATCTTGAATATTCTACCGTGTTTGAAAGGTGAAAATATCTCAAGGTTCCTGTTTATTGTTCAGTGTCTAATGGAGCAATATGTCTTCTAGCATTTGAAGAAATGAATATCCCAGTTGGAAATACCTATTCAAATCTTGTTTAGAATCAGCAAGTGAATTTTAACCGCTGGACGTAAGTAATAGTAAGTAATAGTAAGATCCCCAGCTTGTATAAAGGGTGGGATTCTGTCCATTGTAACTGGGTAGTAATTTAAAGACAACAATGAAACCAACAGTTTTGGATCATTTACTTTCAAAATTAAATAGTTTAAACTGAACTTAATCTTGCTAGATATTTAACAAGACATATGGCTTAGCCTTATTTATATATATTTATATATAAATATATATATAAAATTATATAAGAACCATACACATATATAAATAGGTAAGTAATATGAAACTCCAGTTTTAAATGTTAAAATTGTTAGTTTACCCTCACATTCTCTAAAAACTTAAAAAACATTATGAATGTACAGAAGTTCACTGTAGCTTGCCTATTTGATAGTCATAACTTATTCTAAAAATTTTCAAATATATACCTTTGTAATATGTTAAAATTTCATATAATTTTATTTACTAAAAAGTCAAATTTAGGTAAAGGTACATGATACTGGATCAGAGACTTGCTTGATTTCCAGATGGAACTTTAAAAATTAATAATAGTTAAATAATTTAAAATTAGTCACAGCTGACCCTATTTAATACATAGGGAAGTTAACAGGACTTCCTTCTTCATCTTCAAGCTGTTCAGAAGCAGCAACAGGACTCGTTAATTCAATTCCAGATTGTTCAGAAAGTTTTTTTAACTTTTCTTCTAAAAGAATATTCTTTTTCACTTCTTCTTTGTAATTGTACTTCAGATCTTCAATTTCTTCAAAAAAAGAAGGATCAACATTTTCCAGTTCTTTCTTCAGCTTTTTTATTTCCTCCTAATAGAAACATATTTTCTTTAGAGGGTATATATATATATAGGTATATAAATACAGTCTGCCAAAGTAACCTGAATAGCAAATACACTTAAAGGCAGAGGTATTAAGATTTTGTTAAGAAGGTTTCATTGTGCAGTATAAGTAACTAACTTGTTAACTGTCAAATCAAATGTTCTTTTCTGTAAATTATGTCCTAGTCTTTGACTAAAATTTATTAGTTCTTAAATTAGAGGGGGATTTAATCTTTTCCAAAAGCATACACTTAGATCCTCAGTGAGGCAAGCAAAAAGACGTGGCTGTTCACAGCCTTAGGCTTGTTTTGGTTAAGATTCTTTGGCTTTGGCTTCATTTATATTTTCTTTACAAATACATAAGTTGCAATGAATAATAGTCAACCTCTTATAAATACATTTATGATCAGGGAAATTCTAGGCTTCTGCCTGGCTAAGAGTTACACATCTGGGGAAGAAGCAATTTGAGCTTTAGCGACCATTTAGAATAGCCAGAGATTAGTTAACTCTCAAATCATGTTCTTTTATTCTGTTTACAGATTCTTAAAGACAAAGCATAGCAAATATCTTTTTTAAGGGAAGGGAACTGTTCCTGAAAAGATTTTCAAAAGGAAATAAAAGACACTGTTCCCAATATGACCAAAAACTGAAGAAAATATTAAAATGAGTTCTATATTTGTGACAATTAAAAAATAAATTTACTCTTTAATTCTATTTGTTTTGGTCTCAATTTTTTGGTAGTTCTTGTATAATAAATTTTAACACATAAATAGAGTGAACTTTCCAGTGTCGAGGTCAAATATAAATAAAATGTAATCCTCAGAATTTTTATGATACATATTAAAATTCAAACATGGTGATCGATCATAAAAAGTTTTCAACAGCTGTTTTCATCAAACATTTATAATATTATGATTAGATATATTATTACCTTCAAACGCTGCTTTTCTAGATCTGAGGTTTTAAGCTGTGTCTCTAGCTCTTTAACCTTTTCCTTTAGTTGATCAGAATCTGCCAAAAACAATTATAAAAATTAGACTCGGCTTTTTCCCACAGTTCAAGATAAAGGATTTGTTTTAGAGAATAAAGAGAAAACTTATGAAACTAGAACCTGGAAAATGCGGCATTTTATGATTTTATGGCTGTAACACTTCAGGCTGTGAATACTCTGTTACAGTACAGGAATTCCATGGCAGTCAGAGAGCGCATCGGCCAGATATGAGAAGTGTGGAGTGCCATTAATTCTTGTACATGGAAGAAACTTGTTTTCCAAAGAAAAATGCTAAAGCTAGGAAAATTTGTTAAGTACTAAAAGTACAACCAGAGAAGAAGTAGACTGTTTGGTGAGGGGCTACAACCATAAGCTGGCCAGAGCCCCCGCGACCCAGGAGCATAGGTTCTTCATGCGGTCATTTCCCGTCTACTGTGTAATTAACTGCTCTGTGACAAACGTGCTGGGCGGGATGGATGACACCAATGTGAGCAAGTCCTGATACTTAGGTGGTGCAGATAAGTACAAAAACAGCACAAGGGCTTTCATTTATGAGACTTAACATCTCTAATTTTATAATGTGACCCTATGGACAAATGGCATTTTTGCTTTAATTACTGTCTTCTGGAAACATTTTCTTTAAATGAAGTATTACCTATAATGTGTCATGTAGTCATTTTGCAATGACTGAAGGGTAAAATCATAAAAGCAATGCTAATGTTTAGGAAAATATGGGCAGCAAACACATTTTCATGAATGGGATAAGAAGTATATTCTATTAAGGTGCCCTTGAAATGGTCTCTAATTATAAGTTGGAGATAGGAAATATTTTCCTCCTCCTTTTTATGGAAATAAGAGTCAGCAGAACTCATCTTCCTTTGGAAAGCAGAGGAAAATCATACTTATCAAAGTTTCCCTCACCTTTGCAGAAAGTGCTAATGGTGTTTTACAGAATTGATTTTTTTATTTTTTTTTTAATGTACTGATTTATTTATATTTTGGGGACATGCCCCTATTGGGAACTGAACCCGGGACTTTCTGGTTTGCAGGCCAATGCTCTAACCGCTGAGCCAAACCGGCCAGGGCTAGAATTGATTCTTAATCACTGGGATGCTATATTGAGTTGACTGCCTTAATCAGTGGGTTGCTATATATTACTCAGATCAGTAATGTGTAGCATGTCCCAAAAGTTTAATGACCATTAATATTAAAAGAGTGCTTTAGAATTTCCAGAACAGTTATGGTTTGATTTTGAGCCTTAACTATCTTTGAAATATGACAGGCATCCTTATCTGGAGATAAGGAATATGGGGGTCAGAAATTCCCTCTCAGGAGACTGCGGTTTCGCAGGAACTTGCCTAATGCCAACAGCATTAACAGGGCTTTGGCCTACTGTGTCTAGTCCAGTACACCAAGCTGGCGCCCTGAGAGAGGCTGTTGAGGGATTACACATACTTTTAGTCACCGAAAGGTCAATAGCAGGGAATGGAGAGGAGCTTTAGAGTTTCCTAAATTTAGGTGTCATCCTGGCTCTGTCACTGTACCTGTTGTGACCTTGGGGACAGGTAACTTAACCTCTTCTAATCTGTTTATCGTAGGTAAATGGGAGACAATAGTAACCAGAATTATAAGAATTAAATTATAAAATGGTCACAAAGCACTTAGCATAGTATCTGGCACAACTCATACATGATAGCTTTAAAACAAGCAACAGGACTGTGTGGTAGGATATTGAAAAAGCTCTATGAAAGTCAAAGATTGTTCAGATACAAATTGGTATAATTCTTTGGCACAATTTGGCATTTTCATCAGTCTCAGATAAACAAAGCACAAATAATTGATTCTCATTATTTACAGTAGTTATGGTTTATAAAGTCAACACAATGAATTAGTGAATATTGAACCATTGCTCTTAGGGGAAAAAAGTATACATATAGTTATATATAGATATAGATATATTTGCTATACCTATATCTAAACATACACATATATCTCAGATTATAATTTTAAATCCTGGAAACAACTCATTCTGGTAGATTCTATTTGTTTTACAAAAGAGAAAACAAGGTTCAGAAATGTCAAGTGACTTTCCTGAGGCTGCCCCATGACCAGTCCAACTGGCCCCAGAACCACTAAGCTGCACTGCCCCTGTCTCTGTCCTCTGGTCTTGTCTGTATGAAATGAAACAAGAATGCAGAGCGTCACCTTGGATCTCCCTGGGAGAGTGAGGGTCCAACAGATTTTTCATTGCTGTGTTTTCACAGCAGCACAAGTACTGATTATGGCGTTACAAGTAAATTTTAGGGAGTAGGTGAATTCACAGACACAGAATCTGCAAATAATGAGGATCAACTATTCACTGTGTTGTGCATGCGTATACATTATGGATATCTGCACACAAGCACACAGGAATAGGGGAATGATGTAATCACTTCAGAATGCGAATAGAAGGGGGTAGAAGGACAGACATTACTTTGTAAAAGGAAAACAATATTTTTACTTATATATGTAGTTTTTAAATTACCAAGTGCAATAACATTTAGAAGAAAAGGTTCAGGGGTTTAAAGGGGCCTATACTTAAAAGCTGGAAGCAACAGTCATCGCTCAGCACTATGTCCTGATTACATCTGTAGCACCCACATGGAACACAAGGAGAGAGACTGAGGACTTGCCAAGGACCCGACGGGGATGATATTACTGCAGGGAGGAAGAGACAGCTCCAAAAACGAACATTGGGGATTTGACTTTAGAGGAAGACAGTTATCATAAATCCGTGAACAAACAGAAAATGCAAACACTAATTCACAACCTTGGGTTATCTAACGTGCTGGAAGTTATGAAATACATTACCACGCATGGTGCTCTCAGCTCCGCTCTGGTCTTTGCATACTTCTATCTGAAGGATTAATTCTGCCTTTTCTTTTTCCAGCTGACTATTAGCTAATCTAGAGCACAATGATAATGTTATTAAAAAACAACACAAAAACAATGTTCTACAAAAAATATGGGCATTTCTTATGAGCTGTGTAATGTACTGTGCTAGAACTCACTGACACTCATAAAGATATATTTACTTCCACTGTAACACTACCCTTCACAGAGAGAGGTCATGGGATCAAAATTCTCCATGTTTTCCTTAAAATCTGACCTGATGTCATTTTCAAGAGGATTTTTCCTATTGGAGGAGCCTCATGGTTGTGTGCCACACAGAAACCTGGAAGTAAAGGCTTTTATTTTTTCTTTTTTCATTAATATTTGCCTCTGGAAAGTTAAGGTTTAATACATTCTGTACTACTAAGAAAGTTTAAACTACATTACAAACTTGTACCTATATTAGACTCTGGTTTACCGTTGTTTTTTTTTC